ATGGCTCCTAGCCTTTCAACTTATCTTAAATCTTTACATGAGAATATAGGATGATACTCCTGCGATGCCAAAACGCCTTGTTACGGGTACAAATGCAGATCTCAGGAAATTGCCTCTCAAGGAAGCAAAGGAGATTTGTCGAGACTATGGCGTGCGGGAAGAGGAGGTACACGATTTCACACATTGGTTTAATGGATTTTGCCGTCAATTTTCGTAGTGGAACATGACTATTTATAGATAAACGCCCTTTCCCGATGGGAAATCATAGATGTCATTCGAACATTGTCGACTCAGGCTGCAAAGGCGAAAGCCGATTCGTCGGGAGATCGTAAGCTGAATGATGTTTTGTTGAAGTTTCGATGTCTTCAACCTTTTTTTCCAGATGGGAATGTCTCTGGTATGGCCCGATTTGCTCGAGGGAACATTCGCTTCAACTTTGCTGATATGCAGGAGAAGTACAAAAAGCGCACTGTCAGCACATCTTCGACCTACAGAATCAGTTAGTGTTGATTTTCTCCATTATTTTGATCTTTGCTATTCTAAACACCCTACAAAATATTTCATTTGAAGAACGCTAGCAAACCCGGAAGCGTTATCGACTGACGAGGGAAGTTCCGGCGAAGACTCCGATAATGAGGAGTTGGCAACCAAGGACTTGAAACTATGCTACAAGCGAATAAAGGCAAGCTGTTTCTTTTAAGTAGCTCATTGTTGGAGATTCATTCTTCCGTTGCAGGTAAGAAACACATTTCAATGTCGGAACGAGCTCGTATGGAGAGTTCGAGAATGAGGAAAAAGAACGCCAAGATCTCAAACGAATGGTGCACGGTGATGCAACGAATAAAACTGAGAAGGACAAAAAGGAGGCAACTGCGGAGGAGAAGAAAAGTGGGATTTTTTATTATTTCCCATCATCTGCATGGCGCCATGTTGTCCACCTAATTTAATCACCCAGTTTTGTGCCAGTGCTCTGAAGGTTTACTGCAAGTTTATCGATTTGATGACAGCTTGATGTACATCTGCTTTGGGGTATCTTCAACAGTCATGCATCTCACGATGTCGTTTAGTGTCACGCCAAAAGTTTCCCATACAGTGGGAATTTCTCATGTGAAATGTTTGGTGAGAATAAGCGCGGACGCAGTACTCAGATCACGGAATAGGAAAGGGGGAGGGTTGTATGCACTCTGCGGAAAGCATGATTATATGGACTTTTGAATAACGAAGTTTTACTGCGTTCTATGCGCACTGCACCTGTCGCCCTTATCATACCGCTCATTGTCGCTTTCCATTTTTAAGTAGAGGTTTTCTTTTTAGTCTTGATCTGTTACATTTTGGGCTAGAAATCGTTGTGTGGTTTCCCCCTGTATTTATCCAGCTTTATCTGATCTATCTAGAATCCTGATAGTTTTTTTTTCTGTAGATGTGTCGAAAATCGGTGAAGATGATTTTGGCGAGCCTTCGGCCCCTTCAAAGATTTCCTGCGATATCACGCGCGAAATCAAAAAGCTGTAAAATCTAAGCCGAACAATGGAAGAATCCCGGATAGGGACGGAAGTCGGTTAGTCGACGCGTTGTTCGTTATGCAAGTATACCAACCATTGCTAAGAAATCCATGTATTTAGTTGAGTTCGCAGATCTAGATATCTGCTATAATTATACTTGGATAAACCAGATAAAAATAAATCAGAAGCTGTTCTCGTTGCATTCTTTTTGCATATCTGTACACCTTTGCGCTTTTTTATGAAGATGACGAAGAATTAGGGGGAACGGGTAGAATAAGGGAATTTTCCTTCCCTGTTTTCAGTACATCTAACTTCATCTTTCTTTGGTTTTGCCCTACTTTCCTCCCTTTGAGGCCGTGTCCTTAATTTTGAACGAGCATACCGCCGTTTCTTTTCCAGGTGTCTTCAACGGATCCTTGCCATACAACGGACAGTTTTTGTTTGTCTTCATGTGGCCAGTACCATGACAAGCTGAGCAGCGCATTTTTTGTAAATTCGGTTTGATCGGAATTGGTTTCTTCTCGATAACTCGCTGTAATACGAAAGTGATTATTATAAAACCAGCGACACTTTTTTGAGAACCCTTCAGCAGTACCTGCTGCGTATGTCCAGTCTTTCCCTTTTCCTCGTTCCTCCGGATTCGCCGTAACTGATCTTGAAGACGACGCTTCTGCTTTCGTCGTTCCTGCACAGAATAATCTTTGTACTGAACACAAACCCATACTCTGCACACCCCGTACCTCCTTGAACTGTTCATCCATTTGAGCGTACACCTCAATGAAATTCTCGTCTTTTGTCATTCGAATTCTGGTGTAGGCTTCGATCAGCTGTGGCCGGGTAACTACTTCCACTCGCGTCTGAATGCAATCATAATGACAGCAAAATTAAGGACACGGCCTCAAAGGGAGGAAAGTAGGGCAAAACCAAAGAAAGATGAAGTTAGATGTACTGAAAACAGGGAAGGAAAATTCCCTTATTCTACCCGTCCCCCTAATTCTTCACTCATCTTCATAAAAATGCGCAAAGGTGTACAGATATGCACAAAGAATGCAACGAGAACAGCTTCTGATTTATTTTTATCTGGTTTATCCAAGTATAATTATAGCAGATATCTAGATCTGCGAACTCAACTAAATACATGGATTTCTTTAGCAATGGTTATACTTGCATAACGAAAACCATCACTAACCGATTCCGTCCCATCCGGATTCTTCATTGTTCGGTAGATTTTCAGCTTTTGATTCGCCGTGATACCAGAAATCTTTGAAGCCGAAGCTGCCAAATCTTCACCGATTTTCGACACATCTACAGAAAAAAAAACTATCAGGATTCTAGATAGATCAGATAAAGCTGGATAAATACAGGGGGAAACCACACAACGATTTCTAGCCCAAAATGTAACACATCAAGACTAAAAAGAAAACCTCTACTTAAAAATGGAAAGCGACAATGAGCGGTATGATAAGGGCGACAGGTGCAGTGCGCATAGAACGCAGTAAAACTTCGTTATTCAAAAGTCCATATAATCATGCTTTCCGCAGAGTGCATACAACCCTCCCCCTTTCCTATTCCGTGATCTGAGTACTGCGTCCGCGCTTATTCTCACCAAACATTTCACATGAGAAATTCCCACTGTATGGAAACTTTTGCGTGACACTAAACGACATCGTGAGATGCATGACTGTTGAAGATACCCCAAAGCAGATGTACATCAAGCTGTCATCAAATCGATAAACTTGCAGTAAACCTTCAGAGCACTGGCACAAAACTGGGTGATTAAATTAGGTGGACAACATGGCGCCATGCAGATGATGGGAAATAATAAAAAATCCCACTTTTCTTCTCCTCCGCAGTTGCCTCCTTTTTGTCCTTCTCAGTTTTATTCGTTGCATCACCGTGCACCATTCGTTTGAGATCTTGGCGTTCTTTTTCCTCATTCTCGAACTCCATACGAGCTCGTTCCGACATTGAAATGTGTTTCTTACCTGCAACGGAAGAATGAATCTCCAACAATGAGCTACTTAAAAGAAACAGCTTGCCTTTATTCGCTTGTAGCATAGTTTCAAGTCTTGTTGCCAACTCCTCATTATCGGAGTCTTCGCCGGAACTTCCCTCGTCAGTCGATAACGCTTCCGGGTTTGCTAGCGTTCTTCAAATGAAATATTTTGTAGGGTGTTTAGAATAGCAAAGATCAAAATAATGGAGAAAATCAACACTAACTGATTCTGTAGGTCGAAGATGTGCTGACAGTGCTTTTTGTACTTCTCCTGCATATCAGCAAAGTTGAAGCGAATGTTCCCTCGAGCAAATCGGGCCATACCAGAGACATTCCCATCTGGAAAAAAAGGTTGGAGACATCGAAACTTCAACAAAACATCATTCAGCTTACGATCTCCCGACGAATCGGCTTTCGCCTTTGCAGCCTGAGTCGACAATGTTCGAATGACATCTATGATTTCCCATCGGGAAAGGGCGTTTATCTATAAATAGTCATGTTCCACTACGAAAATTGACGGCAAAATCCATTAAACCAATGTGTGAAATCGTGTACCTCCTCTTCCCGCACGCCATAGTCTCGACAAATCTCCTTTGCTTCCTTGAGAGGCAATTTCCTGAGATCTGCATTTGTACCCGTAACAAGGCGTTTTGGCATCGCAGGAGTATCATCCTATATTCTCATGTAAAGATTTAAGATAAGTTGAAAGGCTAGGAGCCATCTCAGACAAACAAATTAGCACCTTCTGAGGTTTTTGAGATACTCGCACATAACTGAATCCTTGTCCACATCCTGTGGGATCAGCTATTCCTGTCTGATCAAGAAGACACTTCCCTCGCATTGACGAAAGGAAAGCTCTGGTAGTATTCCATGGAGCGCATTTTATCTATACGAAAGCATGAATAAGGCGCAGATTCATAAATGCTCAATACGTGTAATAATAAGAATATGAGGACCTAAATTCTGGGTGGGCTAAACCTAAGTATCTAAACATCAAAACAAAACATCATCCTTCCACAATCCCAACACCAACCTCGTCTTCGATTGTCACTTGATCATCGGAATCGTCTTCGTTTTCTGGAGTGAAGAAGTACTTCTCTCCATAACCCGCATCCTAACAAAGAAGAAATCGAAAAATGAATTGAGTCGTGGCAGGGAAAAACATTCTGAGAAAGCAAAAAATAAGACGACTGCGCAATCTGGAAGAGATTCTGACTGCTCTACATATGGCTACATTTAGTTGCAAATGAAAGCTTAAATCACGTGCAACAAGAGAAATACAGATACAGCATTCATGAAAATGGGCGAAGGAGGTAAATGAAAGAATTCCCAACCTTCAACCTCTGCTCCGCAGCAAGCATACTATATTGAGCACAGCACATTTCAGGGGTAACCATAGCCAAAACCTCTTCCTTGCTCGGTAGACGAAACTCTGGCCGTAGCACCTTTACAAGCGAACATTCAGTAAAAGGAGAAAATAACTCTAAAAAAATGAACAAAAAACAAATAGTGAATGCAAAACTCTCAGATCATAAATACAAAGCGCTATCATTCCAAAACCTACTTAAAACGAGATTGAAGCCATAATGAAAGTAGTTTTGCATACAGTATCCAACACCCAACGCATGCGAAACAACTGGCTTGAAAATTGACGACAGCGCGTGTTTCAGCTTTTTTGGAAACGTGAGACCTGAGCAGTTTAGCGGGGCGGTCTTTGAGACGCGCAACCGCGTCTCACTGTCCAACAAGTGCGTTTTTTCGGAACTCAACACTGAAAGTAGTGAAACAAGAGCACAATGGGAGCTGGGAGGAAGGATCAGTCGGCGACAGCTGACTAATCCTTCCTAAGCGTGATGCTGAAAATATTAGCGCAAAAGGACCGTAAACCAAGGTAATGTAATCAGTCCGGAGAAGTGGAGAGTGGGAAAAGGCACGTGAAATGCATGAAAAACGGAAGGCGCTCGTCTACACTACCACCCTCAGAGGGCGCATTCAAACTGTGCGTAGCGTCGCCAACTAGCCCCCCACCTTAACTCTCAAAGCGCCTGTAAGCCATGAGAGCTCCCTTCCAAGTTGGAGAAAAGCCAGGTAAACCGAAACTTCAATAAAAAAAGAAACACGGAAAGCAAGAATATAGAAAGAATTGAAAAAGATAAGTAAACAATTTTTTCGATTAGCCAACCCAGTAGTTCTGGTCCGGTCCTGTTCCTAAACGCTTGAAATCTGAGCACTGTTTCAAGCGTTTTCGCACGCTGCTCTCCGCATAGTGAGGGAATGCAGCTTTGATGTCGTCCATTTTTAATCGACGTGGTCGATGCTCACTGGCCCAGAAAAGGCGGTAGATGAATGCCTAAATGAAGCAATCTTACAATCTATTCAATCACAATATATCAAGATGCTCAAACACACCAAGAGGAAATCTCGAACAAATATAGTAGCTCTTTTAGAGTTCGGACTCGGCACCTCATACAGAGGGCATTGCTGCCCAACCAGAAAAGGAGGCGGACACGGTCTAATGAACCACCTGAAACGGGATACCACACATCGTAATAAGAATTCTTACATGAAGTTTCACAAAAGCACCAACCCATTACGATTTCGAATGAGAAGATAGTCAGTATGTTGAGGTGAGTGCCGGTAAATAGGAGCGCTAAAAGATGAAGTGAAATACTGAAATGCGACTCGAAATCTCAGTGAGAGAACCCTTTATCTAACCAACCGGAATAAGTTATTTTCAATAGACTGCATCGCTTGCCCAGGTTGTAGTTGACCAAGAAACGGAACGGTGTGCAGATAAGCCATATCACCAAACTCGAAATCAGGATCAACGTCTTTACCGGGCTTCTAAAGAGAATGAAGGGAACTTAAGGGAGAACTCGTAGCTAATACTTGTGAACCAACCTTCTTATAGTAGTTCTTGATTTTGGACGCCATACCCGGCTGGCAGAGTAATGGTGGATGCTCCTCAGAATATTCTAGTAGGACTAGGTCACCATCACGACCACTGAGGTCTGCCACGTCTCGCATGAAGAATATATCACCTCCACCTTCAGCACAACGTTGCTTCTCTCTTTGCTGTAAAAAGGTTTTGCCAAATTTCGAGGATAAACCTTTTCAGAACATTTCTCTGAAGGTCATTCCGCGATGACTCCATCCAAGAAGAACCATTTCGAGGATAGTAAGTACTACCTGACAGCGACAAATATCGATCTCACAAAATGGCACAGTTCAATCTCATAAGAATGTGCAATGAGTTTTGACACTTATTTGACCTTTACAAGAGGTTGAAAGACCAACCGCTGCACAAATAACTATTGTGACCCTCCAATAGGTCTCAATTAATCGACCCGGATGGGGTATAAGTTCTGACTGGTCGGAGCAGGAGTAAAGTGATGGTCGTGACTTCTGTCACCGCGCCTTTCTCTTACGGGACCGAGCGAAGAAGTTATCAACCAGCCAAGGTCAAAAAAAGGTTCTCACTCAGAAGAAAACCTATGCTTAGAAGAAAACCTAAGATAATTCTCACTGACTGACCTCTTCCTTGATTTTAATGTGCTTAGTGAGTTTTTTGATTTCCACCCATCTTCCGTTGAACTGACGAATAACCCGTTTTGATAATGGTTGTCTGAAAAGTTGGCAATTATATACGGATATAGTTTGATTACGTTATTCGTGGAAAATTGAAAGTCGCTACCGAACCTGTGGAAATGCCGCAATTTTGACGGAATGAGAAATGTAGGAAAGAAGGTTCTATGAATATTTTGAGCAGGAATAGAGTGTTGTATTAACATACTGTTACCCGCAGGACCAGATCTGGAAAAGAACAGGATGTGCATATGTTACCGGATTGAATAAAAACTGAGTAAACTCACTTATTAATAGCTTTAGGCAAATAATAATCATCATTGCTGAGATTAAAGGGATCTTTGTCTGTCATTTGAGCCACAGAAGTCTCCATCTGAAAAACATAATTTATGCTGAAGTAAAAACTTCTTGAGGTTCCACGTGAATAGTTTCAAGAAGTACCAGAAATATAAGGCTTGAAAACTAACCTGTTCCTCTTCTTCTTGTTTTTGCCGTTGCTGCACTTGGCCGAGAATCATCTTAGATTTCTTCGTGAACTGATGTTCCTAGAATGTTTATAGCAGCCCATGGATAGATAAGAAACAACTAAAACACCGATGAACTCGAAAGAGCTCATCACCTTTCGATCAAATGGCTTGTTCGGCGTCGAGTCCATCGGATCATCAGATCTTCGATCATCCGGCATACCATATATTAACGGATCATCAAGATAGTCCAATGAGAGTACTTTTGGTTCTAATGAAAAAAAAGATCAATAATTCTGTCAGCACCTCTACAACACATAGGAAACATTCATATATACCTGTTATCCTATCCACTTGCTTTGGATCGAGAATTACATTATCTTCCCATCTATGCTCCTGCTGACTGACAAAATCGTGAGGAAATAAAGAATGAGAGGCACTCGGTTCCGTGATTATATCTTAAACATTCGGAAATAAGCGGAAGGAAGAAGCATGAAGCATGAAAAGAATAAATGAAAAGTCTCGAGAACTTGAAAAAAAGTCAATAGCGCTGTTGTAAGAAATCCTCGACTGTACCAGGATGTGGTGCCAATGTTATGGGAGACGGCGTAATACCCTTCTGGATCGGTTGAAACATCAAGTCAAAGGCGTCATTTTTAACTGAAATTGGTGATTCTTTATTTCTTGAAAAAGCTTCATAAAAATGTATTTTTTCTAGCTGACCTGCCAGCATGTACTGCTCGTACGTCCGTGTATATTGCGTCGGAACCCAACCACAAGCTGGTTCTACACCATACTTGAGCTCATCTAGTACCTGTAATTTATATAACTTTACGAACTCCGTCACGGCGGCTTACTTGTGAAGGAGCAAGCAGTCGATATTAATCACTATCGCTTGAATATCTTCTCCATGTTAAGCCTGCTGTGAATGATTTAGAACAATCCTCCTGAATAAGATGTTGAAATTTCACCTCATCACGGAAATCATCGCCTTCTATGATAATGTCGTCTTCCCATTCTATCAGCTCGGCTGGCAGCAGCTTTCCCTCTGGTTCCCGGTCGACAATGTTTTCCTTAAGAAATTGATGGTTGCATCAAGTAAGCGAAACTTTTCTTCCAAAAGATCTCGCAGAATCTATCCATTTTGGGATCTTCTACCAAACAAGTTCATTACAGAAGCCATTATTGCCTGCATGTCGACGTTCGCGTCTTCCTCATTTAGTATAAGAGTAAAAAACATATATAATGCCAAATTATGAACAATGAGCGGAATCTAGTCAATGCTTATATTTCTCACCCTTTTTCGCTTCACAAGTCCATAGTCAAACGTCGACGCCGTAGATGGCACCCCAGCACGATCATACCTGAAAACCACAGATTGAGAAAGCTGTAGAAGGGATAAGAATTTGAAAATGAGCAAAAACAGCGAAAAACTTGAAAGGGAGCCCACTTTACCAGGACGAAAGCCAGAAGCTTGAAGCCTAGTTTCACCTGAATGGTCCACTACAAACTAGCTGTTAATTACTAATGCAATTATATAGGAAGTCTAGGCGTAAGGAAAAAAAGATGGGGACGGAACGGTAAGCACGATGAAGCGTAACAAATACGAGAAGACAGGAGAGAGGTAATAAGGATAAAAAAAAGCTGGGTGAGGAGATAAAGTCACAAGAGGAAAGGCAGACATGGAAATTTGCGAAATCTGGCTTAAAATGAGAAAAGATGGGAAGAAGTACGGTATAAATCATCCTAATAGTACATAATCCAGTGTGTTCACTAAAGAATACAAATTTATCCCATTAAAATGATATGGAGTTGAATGCGACTCATCATTATCAGCTTCACCACCAAGAATTTGCTATGCTAAGGTGCAAGGATTCAATAGAAAAAAGGTGCTATCGCAAGATACGGTGGCATTGTGGTGTTAGTGCATATAGACCGCGTGGAACATCTCCTTTTTGTCACAAGCAGGACTAAGCTTTAGGCGAAGAGGAGATATTCCAGGCTACATCTGCGATTTCTTTTCTCGCGGAGTCCTGCTCTCTCGTAGGCTTGATCCTAGAGGAGGCCCCTACTGAAGCAAGTCATCGCGTGGTGGTTAAAAGACAAAACTTCAGAGTCCTGAGAAGAAAGAATACCATATTTTCGCAGGGCCTGCACGCCATGGAGCCATTGTTTCCTCCGCTGGTCCTTCTGCACGTGAAGTGCTAGCTTGGGATGATTTTACGTTGGATTTCGACGACAACATCAAAGCCTTAATACAAAAGTTACAAGGGCACGATGGAAAAAGAATTTCACAGGCAGGCATCACCTCTTCATCTGGACATAATGCTTCGACTGGAGGATCGGGAGCGAATGCTAACGTCAAACCCTTTTTCTCGGACTTTGCTGGTTTCTGGAAGGCAGGTCTTTATAGAGATAACTAGCAATATTTGGTAATGAAGAATAAACTGTTCTGAAAAATAACATGCAACAGAACACCGAAGAAGTTGATGGTTCAAGAAGAAGACTTGAAGCAAAAGAAAAATTTTGCTAAATAACCAACCTCTGCAGATACTTTCTTGTGGAAAGTTTTCGACGGCCACCAAATCTCCGCTTTGGAGGAGGATTTGATATTTGAAGCAAATATTCGGGAGAACCGAACAACAGAGTTAAGTTCGTAGTCAGCAAAAAACCTCCTTAAAATGAAATTTAACGAAATTACGGCATGAGAAAAATCAGTAACGTGCTGCAATACCTTGGGTCGATGTTGTCCAATTGAGGATTTAATATAGACGCAAGCGGTGCATCATCCCTTTTGGATGGAGGTATGAAGGGTGTTTTGGGACTCTTCTGGAGTGAGGTAGAAATTTTTCACTTTTAAGCACACATGTCCCAAACAAAAAAAGCGCTGTAATCAACGAACCGATGTGTTTACTAAAACATAGTCGTTCGGATTGAAATCATCTTCTTCTTTGATAGGCTCTCGACTCGTAGATGGATAGGCTGAAAGGGGGAAAAATAATACAAGTGGCGCATGTCCAATTCCACCAAGAATTTGGGGGATCAAATAATTCATTCGAATGCGGATATCAAAGTTTAGGTGAAACAGAAAGTTTCAGCCAAATTTTAGCTAATGTTTTCGGAACTGTATCAATGTCTCTCTGTACGTGCATCAATAGATATGATGCTACTTGGAACCATGCAATCTGCCGCATATTTTCAAGAGGAACCTTACATATTTCTTTCTTTCAATTTCGAGCTCATGCACCAGCAAAAGCATATCCATGCATCGTACAATGTGCAGCATCAGTAATCTTTCTCCTCAGATTTGAGCACCACACTAACGTTTAAGAAATGTAAAAGTTTGCGAGCTAGGAACTACATCAAAGTCGTCGAAAATAGCAGGTAAACTTGAGAAGCCTTAAAACAAAAGTCGGAAATTTTGTCTTCATATCGACTGGAATGGCTGGAGAGTAGTAGATTAGGCTCTACGAAGCAATATTTTTTAGACACTGCCTTAAAAATATTTTGCATCGAATTGGCACCCGATTACAGCTTCACCATTTTTCTAATCAAGTCTCAAGTCCTACTCTCTATCCTGATCAACTATAATTGGTGATGTAACCAAAAAAAGTATAAAAAAGGAGAAAGGACACATGGGCATACGACTGATCAAAAAAAAGTTTCGGTATCCAGAATGTGGAAGAGTAAGTGAGAAATTCTGCACGAATCAAAAAAAAATCCATTAAAATGAATCAAGTAGCCAAAAAGAAACGGCTGAGCCTGAGTATCACAGAACGGCAAGAATTCTAGCATAGAGAGAAAACGAAGGGGACTTCTTAACGTAGAAATGAGAAAGGAATATATTCAACACATAGCTGCTGAACAATAAACGTACGCTCATTTCTTGCACACGGGTGATGCCGATAAAAGTCACTCATCCCTTCGTCCGGATCCCAGTCTTCGTCCTCCATTTTCTCCTTCTTGACGCTACTTGTACCCGCATGACCATTCACTAACGTCTCATCAACTTCCATACCTTGATAATCTGATCCACTATCATGAACCAAGTGTCGCATTTGATATTGAATTCAGTCATTAAGAGACTACTTAGAGGTAGCGCATGCTTGATAACGACCTTTCTACATCATACGACTCTCCTGTCTTGCAAGATTTATTGAAAAATGCAATATGAGCAATTACAGACAAGTTATGCACGGAAGTGTTAAATGTTAAGGCAAGGACAATTGAGTACTGTCAGAAGGATATCGATGAGGCAATCAACCACGTTATACGGTAAGAATGCGCAATCAAAGAAACCCACGAACGTCATACGCCGTGATTAATAAGTGATGATCATATTCATAGATATCAAATGTATTAATGAAAGCAACCCTGCACAAAGCAACGGAAAATGTGCTGGATTTCGTAATGACAAAAGAGGAGACGCCAGGGACATGAAACGGTTCCCATAGATTCCAACTTCGCGTAAATGTAAGTTCTAATTCTAGAAAGGTTTAGTAGAAATCAATATATACAGGGAAAAACTGCTAGCTACTACATAAAACACTGCAAAATATGAAAATTTAGTAAAACAGAAAACAGCGTTTGCTATGACGAATTACAAGCTCAGATCGCTATATTGTGATGCGAGTCGGGGCTCGACTGTAACGCGCTAACATCGGTTGATATATCCTGGAGATAATCGAATTCCGCTAATGCGCACCGCTCCATTTTACCAAATCTGAAATAAGCTATATTAAATCACAAATGAAGCACTGACAAAAATTTTAACACAACCTCTTATAATGCCTCGGCTGAACTGCTACTCTTGGCGGTTGAAATCGGACAACTTCGCCTTTCTTCTTTAATTGTTTTTCTATTATACGACATGTCTCCTCGTCTGAAGTGCTAATCGAGCCGTCGTTATCCATTTTCTCGTTGTAACCCTGAAGCATACAATTTTCCATCTCCATCGTACAGACAGCCCCCAATAAAAATTACGAAAATGCTTTCTGACGTAAAATAAAGAAACTCAAAATCGTCCAATACAAGAAATAACATGAAACATCTGCTTATTCAATTTAAAATTTGTGAACAAACATAGATTAACAATGTTGCCACCGCTACCCTGCACACCAAATCCTACGAAACATGAAACTTCATTTATAAATTGTAAAAAAATAGGATTTCAACCACTCACCCTTACGTAGTAATCATAGTCCTTCCGGATTGGTTTGTTTCGTGAGCACAACAGCTTTTCAACAGGTAAATCCTTCAGCTTTCTCAACTCATCCTTTTCATTTTCTTGAAGTACTAATGCACGAATATCCGTGTCGGAAAGAGATCTTAATTAATTATATCATATCTGGTGGTTAGAATCTCTATAAACGTTTGAAGAAAATGCCATAAACCAAATAACAGACCTTTGTGGAACGAGCTCGTTGTTGATGGTAAAATCTGGAAGAGGAACGTAGGAGGACAATGGCTCTATCGGGCTAACAGCAGCTCTGGGTCTTTCCGGAGGTGGGGTATCACACTCAGCTGTTCGAAAAACACGAACCTGGAAAGATAAAGCAAAATATGTAGGAAAAAGACTTGGCTCCCTAAGATTCACAAACTTGGAAGAAATTCATGAAAGTAGCGGTGATCTGACTATGTAAAGAGAATTAAGCCAATAAATACATTTTATGGAAAAAAAGCATGCCGTCAAATTCGAAAGAAACAGTATCAAAGTTTGATGCAAATGACGAATCACCAACCTCATCCTGCATGTCGTCATTATTTTCCAGCTTCAACGTAGGTTCAGCTGTACTTTCACGAGTAGTTGTATGCTCAGTTTGAGAGGATAGCCCGTCGCTTACACTACCGCCATGGGCTTCGTTCAACGAGCAAAGTCGATCGTTGACACCATCAACCTGGGCTTCTGCCAAGGAACACAGGGCCTCACCAGCACCAGAATCATATCCCATAGGTGGAAGGCCACCACAATAAGGGATCAGAAATGAGCTGTCGTTCGAATGTTCGGCCAGCATCGTTTTCAAACGAGCCTGCAACACCACTATGCGGCTACCAATGTGGTCACAAAATTATCTGTCAGTCTCGTGGAATTGAACAGAATCAAGTCCTCCACAAAGTTATTCCATACCACTTCTTCGAGTGCCTGATGAAGCTTTTTCGTTTGCCGCGCGTTGATTTTTCGCTCGTCCTCTATTGCTTTTCTGGCTTGCTTGTAGTGCCACTTAAGAGTGTCGTAATCGCGACTGAAAATACCGAAATAACAAATAAATCTACCGAGCAGTAACAGCACACCTTTTTCGTTCGATTTCGTCCTGAAGCTCTTCTATTCTCTCAGACATATCTCTTCTTGTGGACCGAATGAGCTCCTTGGCTCTTTTCAGCTTTGCTTCTAATTGAATCTGAATAGCATTTGATGAATAGAGGGTTCGAATAGCGAAAAAAACTTATAGAACTGAAACTTACAATATGCATGTTTGCACCCTCATCATCATCCGTTGACTCGTTCAGAGTACTACCGTAGTAGCGCTGATTCTGTGTGCGCCTCGGCTGAAAACCAATCAATATGTGATCAATTTAAATTTAAAATGCTTCACTGCCATATTTAAATCCCAGAAACGATTGAATTTGTAGACAGAAAGGAAACTTGTGATACGAAGAGATAATATACCTGCATGTGTGAACTTGTATCTTTTCTGGGGTGAATATCAGGTGGACTGCCTCGACTAGAATTTGCACTTTCGCTACTATATTCCAAGATAGTTTCATGCTGATAGACACTGAAAAACTCGCTCTTAAACTTTGCTACGAAGTTTGGCTTTATTGCTGGCAAAAAAAAGAAGATCTCCCGACAAAAGAATGCTTAGTAGTAAAAACATTCTAACTAACTCAGTTCGTTTCCTTCCAACGTTTTCATAGCGCAGAGAAGTATTTATCGAAGAATAGCGATCGTTCAGAGGTTTCCCCCGATGAGAAGCGACACGATAGCTGCGATCTTCCATAGGAGCACCGGGACAAGATCGAGGTCCTTCAAACGAACATTGTGCAGTGAGTCAAATGTAAGGAGGAAACGTTTGTTCAAGAACCGAATGGAAAAGGAAATTGCTAGAAACCTCTGTTGGTTTTCGGAGCCGTTACTACGGAGTAAGGGTTAGGTATGTGCATCTCTCGAGATCTTCTTGCTTCCCCCGCATATACACCCGCATCACTTCGATTCGTTGCAAAGTCTGTACTTGTCGTTGAGGATCTTTCCAAAGTACTGCGATTCTGCAACAGAAACTTTGTAAAACTCCAACGAACGTCCAAGAAACGATGCAATATTGTCAACATCCCTAGTAACTAGGGGTTAAACGATGAAGAAGTACTCACCATACTAGGAAGATTCTCCTTATTAGATCCCTTTTTGTTTTTGAACATTTTCATGAACGACGCCATGTTCAAACTCTCCTATATTACTCACACTCGCAACACAACAATAAGTAGATGGAAGGAAGATGGGTAACCAACACTACCACTTTATATCATGATATTATCATAAGGCAAGCCTGAAAAAAGGCAATATTAAACAATATGCCATGAGCAGCATTACGAAAGGGAAGCGAATTAACAAATTTGATATCCGAGAGTATTTTCAAGATGCAAAAATAAAAGGATTTTACTTAAGCGCGACAGCGATTTCAAGAGCCAGAATATCAAGAAACTGACAGGAAAGTTGTGTCGATACTCGATGTAAAATATTTAATCAAAAGTCGATTGTAATAACTGATGACTGAAGCAAAGTAGATTCTCACAATATAGGGTAATAAAATAAAACACCTATCAAAAAAAACCAAAGATTGCCATCTCATTATTCAAACTATCACGGAGGTCGACACAATAACGGTAGGAACGACAGTTCCTGACAAGGATTTGAAAAAAAAAAGAAAAAAGAAAGAAAAATGAACGATAGACGAGGGTGAGATAATACACCTAAAACACGATTGCGAACACCTCCTTTCAGAGCGCATTGTTCCCGATGTAATTGTTCGAGAGACAATGCTTTCAGAGCTTTCAAAAGATTCTAAGAAGCAAGTCCCACCTCTTTGAAGCTCCGAAGCCAATGCAACGCTTCAAATCCAGCGTCACCCGCGGCGTGGGCGACTCGCGGCGGCCGCGAGCGTCGCCGCGCGCCACACGTTGCAGAAACTGTCACTAATTTTACGTCAAGAAGAGTGCTGCGAGTGTGAAGGGCTGCTCCGCTTTCTTTTTGACCATTTTTGGACACTGATCTCGAATATGCTTTCCAAATCTGTGCCATGGACGGAGACCGGGAGGTTCTTCCCGGATGGATGATTGTATGTTGAAGCGTGATCATTCATTTATATTTGCGCGAGATCAGCGTCCAACATCACGTCTCGTTTTGTAGATCTTCACATGGCCACTTCGGCTTCTTTCATCTTCATCTTGTGAGCAAGAGTGGGGATGGATTATTAAGTTCAAACGCAAGAACTCTAAGGAATAAAAGCAAGAGTACTTGTTTCGCTCACCTGTACGGTTTTCATCTGAATACGAACAGAATTCCTAATTTGCGTATGGGATAAGATTTCAACAACTTACCTATAGATAAAAGGCTAATTTGGTGTAGCACGAGACATCCGGTTTTGATCATGTCTGTCTAGGATACGTCAAGCACTCCGCTTCAAATTAGAATATCATCCGGGTCTATTCCACTTAGGGGGGCATGCTGTTTAGAGCGCTCAACAAGTTTGAGCCACGCATATTTCCTGAATATGAAGGTTTAGGACTAAGCTCAGAAAGGAGGGAAAAAACCAAAAAAAAGAAAACCCCAGCTTCGTGAGCAATCTTCGCTTTCTCGGGGGAGGAATTTCCTCCCTCCTCCTAGGCTTAGTCCTAACTGATCACTAGGTAATATTACTTTTCATTGACGTTTATGTTACAAAGAACACACAAGAACACATACATTATACAAAAACCAGAAGAAATAACATAGGAAAAGCTGATAGCACTTCGTAACTTTGAAGGACTCCTTGAGCCAAACTAGGCATTAGAGCAGACTGTGCACCGCAATGCCCCTCCGTAACTGAAATAGACCCTACCATTCAGATGCCGATATATTCCGACTGATAATAAAGCGCCAGTGGTACCAAAAACATGGTCAAAACACTTATTGCTTTGTCCTTTATTACTTCGAATATTCCTTTACTTATTTGGTCCTATGCTGAGGATGCTGCGGATCACTGCGTTCCCACAGTTGACCAATGAGTGACAGCAAAACTCGGTGACAGCGCTCCTTCTACAACCCACAAAGCACGCATGACGTTAAAGAGACGAACTGTGACATAACCTGCTCGGAGAGAGATCAGCAAGCTACGGTGGATTGTGGAAGACGTAATGTAATTGCAAATTCTAAAACATACCGTACGACGTTATAATTTGTCACATGTTGATTAGTTGTATACGGCGTATGAATGAGTTTTTGAGCTTTTTATCTTCGTTCGTTAGTTCTTTATTACATTCTAAACTAACTATATCTTCACCAATTGTGTTCCTTGCCTGTATTCTTGTGTGGCTGTAATGTAACATTTTACCGAGTAAGTCATGTTCAACCGCTGAAATTTGGGGGAATTATTTGATTCCGTTCATTTTATTTATTTATTGATTTATAATGCACTCAAAGTACGCCATCAATGAACACAATAATTTTAGTGTAACTGGTAGCGCACTTGTCTGGAAAACGAGAGA